GGGAGGCAGCCCTGCCACCCTCACGGCCTGCCCTACGCCTCTGCTGGGCAGTGGTTAGAAAGAGGGGGTTCTTCGGACTGGACCCCGGCAGCATTTCTGGGCGATCCCTACAAGTCCAGAACGCTGAGGTGCTCCCCGAGGCGGCGCAGATGGCGACTGCAGGGCCCCCCCTCACCCCGATTTTCCCCTGTGGGGGACCCTTGGCCCTGCCCAGGGGCACCAGCTCCCGGAGCCTGGCCGACCTTAAAATCCAGGCTGTTTATGGTATTTTTAAGAAATTAGGGAGAGAAGCTGGGTTAGGTGCTTTGTGTTGTACCAACACAAGCGATGGTACCGGCTGTGGGCACGAGGAGCTGGTCCTGCCCGAGGAGCGCTGGGATTCCAGCCACGCATGGCCGTTGTGGCGAAGACCTGGGAAGGGGCATATGGCTTTGCAGGCTGTGTGGGATTTGTGTACGGCATGCAATAGCGTGGGATGACCCACTGCATCTCTCTGGGCACGTCACTTCTCAGCCCTGTGACTTGAGCATAGGAAGTTCCATCTAAACATGAGGAGGAACTTCATTACTTTGAGGGTGGCAGAGCACTGGCACAGGCTGCCCAGGGAGGTGGTGGAGTCTCCCACTCTGGAGACATTCAAAAACCCGCCTGGATGCCATCCTGTGCAACCTGCTGTAGGTGACCCTGTTCTGGCAGGGGGGTTGGACTATGTGATCTCCAGAGGTCCCTTCCAACCCTGACCATTCTGTGATTCTGTGACCTCTAGGGATTTCCAGTTCTGGTACTGTTAGACCTATTGCAAAACTAGAAGGCAGGTCTCCCAAAACACATGACTTTGTCTGATCTTTGATTTTCTTTTGTCTTCTGTTTTGAGATGTCTAGGTTCTCATTTCCAAGCTTTTCTCAGTGACAGCAATGTCCAGAGAGAGACATAAGCTAGCGTCAGCTTCATTTGTCTGTTTGGTCCCAAACTATCCCTGTTTTATCCCTCACTCACAGCCACTTCTGGTGAAGCATCCCCCAAAGTCCCTCTAAAACAGTATTGCTACACTAGCTCCTCAGAGTTTTTGATTTCCTCTAGCTCAGATGTAGACTCCTATCTTTTCTATTAACTGGAAAGAAAATTGTGCATTTTATTCTTTTTTTTAACCAGTGTTGTCTTATATGGACCCTCAGAAAATCCAGCAGCTGAATCTGTGATGAAGACTCGTAAAGGTGTGCAATCAGATGGAAGTAACTGCAGCATAGATATTCTTAATGAGCAAAATCACCACAATTTTTGAAGCAACTATTTTGAATTATTTCCGTTCAGCAGAAGATGTGGCTTTATTGAGTACTAAGCTTTAAAAAAAATGGGAATCAGGACAGCCATGACATCCTCCCACACACAGAGACAGAAATCTAGAAATTAGATACATTATTTATGGCAGTCAGTGGAAAGAAGAGCATCTTAAAGTCTGATAGGCTTATGTCGGCCATATGATGTACATCAGTTCCAGGAGCTCAGTGGTCTCTTTCACAGCTCTCAAGCGTGTCTTGCTCCATATGACTGAGCTTTAAGAGGACTTTTGTTTCAAATGGGTTAACGTAATCATTTGTCTAAATGAAGGAGGATGCAGCTGAGAGCGGAGATTCTGAAAATAAGAACTTCTACTGCTGTTTAAACAAACATTAACGTCCAATTAGTAGAATGAGAAAATAAGATATGCAGAAACAGACAGAAATAGCCAGTTTTCTTTCCCTTTCTTTTCTAAAGTTGTATCTTTATGCTACACACAGTGAATCATCACTGTACAGTTCTTCTGAGAAACCGAGTAGTTGTCATGTCACCCAACAGTGCACACTAAGAAAAACAACTGGGAACAACTGGAAGTGAAACTAGCATAACAATCTATCGAAACTAAAAAATCATCTGGTAATTTAAGCAGTACTGTGTGGTACAAGTAGGTGGCAGCACTATTCCCTGGGTCTCTCCCTGTAAATTTTCCTACGTGCCATAAATGTCTTTTGCTAATCTCTGTTACAGGACAATACATAACCTAGTAATTTCTCCTACTGTCTTTTGATAATGTTGCATAGATACAACAGCCAAGTGGATCCATCAATCACTGTTTTAATTCCGCAGGATTTTTTTGAAAAATACTAACTTTTCTGTATAGTAGAGATATTATGTGTATGAGGAAATACAAGTCTGAATTTCACAAATTGTGTCTTGACACCCACAAGTGAAAGACATTTTTGGTTGTGATCATACACTTAGGTTGCCTAACACCTTCTCACAACTTTGCCCTTTATGCAGTCCACAACTTGCTCCATGTCCATTCCAGACTTTCCCACCCTCCTGGGGGAGGAACAGAAGTTGTGATAAAGCTGGCTAAAAAATATTTTGTATCAGCCTACGCCCATGGGAGTGGACCTTGCCTTTGCCCCATGCCCTTTGTAATATACAAACAAGAACACCAAAGGAAGAGGTCTCAGTGTACAGCCATTACTTTCGCTTGAAAGGCCTACGTGGCTTCAACTTTCAACTAGGTCGTCAGCGCCCTAGGGCTTTTTGGGTTTTGTCAGGATTTCCTTTTCACTCGTCCGGGGAGTTAGCTGTCTCCCTCAGCTGTCAGGGAAGTCCCGGTGCTAGCAGAGGAAGGAGTAGAAATGCACAGCCAAGCTTAGAAAATGAAGATGGCACTGGATCAGCACTGACTTGAATTGACTTGACCTGATAGGAAACGGCATCTTAATTGAGCATGCAGCTGCGGCCGTCTACACCTCTCTTAAGTATATTGGAAAGCACCGTGATTTGAAAGCAACGTGAACATAGGAATTTGGGGGATAGGTCTTCCGCCAATCCGTATTAAATCTTTGCAATTATAAGTTGCCTGTAATCTTACTAAAAACCAAAATACATAACTCAATTTTCTATTGACGTTAAACTAAGGTAAACCTCCACCACTTGCTGAACTACTTGTATGAACGTGACAAGTCATATGTTGTTACGCTGTTCAAAACTGCTCGAGAAGTATTCCTACTGCCAGGAACATGGGCACAGGGCCCGTGGGCACCGGGCATTCTCATCCTGCCTCGCGGCAACGGTGGGGTGGCAGGGTCCTGCTCACTGCTGCAGCAGGGCCGGCACCTCCGCGTCCCTGCACTGCCAACAGAGCAGGCTTTTGGTTGTATAGGGTGCGTACAATCCGTCTGCTCCTGGTAGGGAAAATAAAACTGCTCACAGGTATGCTAGCTGCACCTTTGGAAAGATTTGGTTGCTTTGTCTTTCTCATATGCAGCACAGGAATAAAAAAACCCACCCCGATCTCTTGAATTCAAGTGAGGAGAAGACAGACCTCCTCTGCAGAAGAGGTACAAATAATTTGTAGTACCAAGAAATGGTTAGCAGACCATTATTGACCACTAGAGGGGATCACAGGAGTGGAGAAGGATTTGAATATACTACATAATAAATGCTTTCCTCTAACACAAGCTTGCCTACGTGCGATGTACTGTATGTGCACAGTTGATGACTGAGAAAAGACAGCACTTTATGCATGCTTAAGCTGATATAAGAAGCTTATATTAATTTAATTTAAAACAGATCAATAACAGGTTTAATTGTTAAAATGAAATTACTTGTTTACACAGATTTTTCTCATCAGTTTAAACTAGTACAGGTTAAACCTGTTCAACTTCCATCTGTAAAAAAGTACTAGCCATTCTTTGAATCTATCAAAAAAATAGGCTTGTTCTTCAGACTTGCTGACATTTAAACAAGTGTAGCTTGCTTGTTTAAAAACTAATGTTAAATCACTTTTAATCCTTCTATAAACTCCTTCTTATCTTTAAGGATGATTTGGGACTACCCACCGCAGGCAGTATCAACTTAATTACATCATTGTGGAACCAGACTGCAAGTTAAAATTGATCATCAATCTTGCAAATAAAGTAGATGTGAATGATGGGTATACTAACTTCTCTGAACCTGAACGGATTTATACTAGCTACAAGAATCCTGGCCATCAGTTTAAGGGCTGCACTACTGAAGGTGAAGCTGACCTCCCATCATAAACACTTGATTTAGAAATCACCCTTCTAACATCTCCCAGACCAAACCAAGCCACCTGAAGGAGTGACATCACAGTCTTCAATCCAAAACGAATGATTTCGAGAAATTACGCACGCTGATAAATTCTGCAGAACGATAATGTCAATTTCTTGAAAATGGACTGCTCTCAAAATACTTTCCTGGGGCACACGTCTCTGCACAGATGGTGGAGGAGAGGTCAGAACCAGGCAGTCATCAACACCTTGCACAATGACTGCAACATACTGACTAGTCCCCTTTTTCCAGTACTTGTCTAAGGAGACAGTGGCTTTTCACTGTCCTTGAGTTGGAATAAAATGAATAAGGCACAGTCTAGCTCTGAAATATCATAGATTTAATTGCAGATAGTTGAAGTTACTGAGATTTTTGTCATTTGCTTTTGAAGGCATAGGTGTGGGGCCTAAGTATTTCAGCGAGATGTGCTTGTACCTTTTAGCATCACTGATAAAAATAAATAATTCCTTGCAGACCAGGCATCTACACTTATTTGCTTCTGTGTTTTTGTTTTGTTTTTTTTTTTGTGGTGCATTACAAGAGAGGTGTTATGACTTTTGAAAGAATCTACCTTTCTTTTTGCTTAAGTGGAGTCTCACATTGAATATATTAATACCCAGCAATATATCAAGAAAGGTGTTGACCATCAGCAGCTTTACAAAAGGGAAAGCTGAGCGACTCACAGAATTACCAACGCCTTCTGCTTCTGTCAGGGGTTTCAATTTAGTTGTCTTCTCGCTACCAAGGTAATCATTACACTGTGAGGACTATTTGCTTCTGAAGTTTCTCCTGGATTTTTTTGAAGGAGAAAGTGAGAAGATGATTTAGTCTGTAGGTGCCCAGTGAACATTTGTTTGCAGAAGAGGCTGTTGAGTACTGGTCATAATTCTGTGGACATTATGGCATTATGAATGAGACTGAAGCGTCAAACTAGTGCAACATAAGTGAGCAAGAAAAGGCAGACCTGCAGTGAGTCTGGCCTCTGTTACAGCAAATGTTCAGCCTGGCAGGACAAAGCAATGAATATTCCAAGTTCGTATTTCTCATTCTTTTAAAAATAAACTGTGCCCGTTTTGCTCTTCAGACCATATGGCATGAATCATTTCAGTGAAGCATTCATCACATCATGATTTACACTGACATTATTTCTTAGAAGTTAAGTGGTGGGGCTTCACTGTGAGGAGCTTCATGTATGACAGCCGTTCTCTGTTCTCTTTCACTTGTTTCACTGAAAGGTAACTTTATTCATCTCGGCTCAAAACTAGAGTTACAGGAGTGAAAAACCAAGCACAGAGTGTTCCTG